GCCACTATACAGGACTTGACACTGGAGATAATAAAAAATCGGTTCTCACTACTCAAAGAATATTGAGAGAAAAACGGCTTGAATTGGAGAAATAGCAAAATCAACCATTAAAATAATTGCTCCTTAAGTAAAATTTAGGCGCTATTTATAAAAATGAATCTTCATGCGTGAACAGCCACCCTTAAAGGTGGAGGATTTCCTCCAAAATGAAATGGGACCACTATGGAACTACTCCCTTTCCAACAAAAAAAGAATCATGAAAATCGGTATACAAATACCGGAGTTATCGCGTAACATACATACAAAAAAAAATATACAGTCGAATTGAGAACCTCCTCCTTTTTTGAAGTTGGTTAAAAAGAATGTTAAGTAAAAAGAAGTAAAGAGATTATTAGCCATAGATATGTTGGTAGTGCTGTAAAGAAGCATAACAGGAGGAATCGCGTGCAACCCTGTTAAGGCCACCACGCGACTGGTAAAGGCGCGGCGCCGACGCGACGGGCGTGCCCCGGCATTTGTGAACCCATAAAGGCATGCTGTAAATGCCGCACCCTCCTCCGCCCCAGTAACCTGCTAAAGGATTCTCAATTCCAGAAATGTCTTTAATGACAAGACCAGACGTTTTGATAGTCCCTTGAAGTCTTAACATTCCGTTTTTGAGCGATTCACAAGACTAAATGGCAATAATAAGATACCAGACGATTTCAAATTACCTGGTCTCAAACTATGGAAATCCTCTGTCATATTCCTCCATTGGCAGCTGAAGAGCTCCTTGTGAAAGACATTTTCCAGAGAAGCATTACTACGTTTCGGTTTTGAACGGTGCAAGTGAAATAACAGGCACATGGGACTTGTTAACTTATGTCTCAGAGAGATAGCCGCTGTGCGTGTGCTCCACAGATCTTTGCATTTTAAAGTTCTGAGTCGCACTGTCTGCTCATGCCCACGACTTGTTTCTTCCGTCATTTGGTAGCATAAAATAAAAACTCTTGGGCGTTACAGATTACAGAATATTCGTTAAAAAGCAAAACAAAGATCTGCAACAAACATTGCTATTACAATAGTGTTGTAACTCAAAATATGTGAAATTTAATATTATATCATTACTGAACGTAACATTTGATTCTCTACACGTCAAAAAAACCATAGTTAGAATAGTACTACTTAATTCAAAATGAGACATACTTTATGTGAGGTATTTCTGGACAAAACAGTCCTTACTCAAAAATATGATAATATTTTTTACTTTTATTTTCAAATATACTTCTAATTGGCAAGTAGGGGTTGTTTAGATGTCTAAGAAATTTTAAATTATACGTAAATTATAATAATCTTTCAGGGGAACTGAGTAATTCGTTTTTGGGGTGTTCTGAATAAATTAACTTTTTGAGTTAATACAGTATTGTATTAGCAGTGCGATATCATTACTGTACCTACCTAAAATTTGATTCTCTACACGTCAAAAAAACGTTAGAATTGTGTACAAAACAATCAAAAGATACTTAACTCAGAATGAGACACACTTGAGCAATTTTTTGCCAAAATAATCCTTATTCAAAAACGTGAAATCCCTTTTTCATTTTATTTTTAAATATATTTGAGAAATTGTTAAAGTGTCTATAATAAACTACAACATATAAATTTTAATGATTTTTTTGCGGGAAGTAAGTAATTCGTTTTGAATCAATTCTTCTTTTTGAGTTAATACACTATTGTATTAACAGTGCGACATGCAAAAATTCGTGAGGTCTCCGTTGGTACGTTCCGTGGCATAGCTTCTGGCACGGTTTACTGGGAGACGTTGGTTTGAATCCAACCGCATCAACGAGAACTTTTTTCTAATTGTCCGATCCTTGTTTAATAATTATAACAAACTAGTGGAGTAATTGCACAAAAAAATTATTGAATATTATGGTTATTTAACATCCTGACATTCATTAAAATTTAATTACGTTACAGAATAATCAGATTAAACCAAAAGAACGTTCCATTACCAAACCTCCTTTTCCAGCATCTTAAATGGAAACAGTTAGTCTAGATAACTCGTCAAATTTGTCATAAGTACATAGGAACATGTAACTACTCCCTTTTTCAATCATGTGCAAACATAATAAGATCTGGTGTGTAGGTGAACTTGGTACCTGAGACGTTATTAAAGCGTAACTGCCTGAGTGACCTTTTCGAAACAAAGGTCTTATTGCTTCGTCACACGTGAAATGACGTCATAAACGCCGCTTGTCCAGCCTGTGCTAAATATAATCGTATTAGTTCGACTTGTTTCGCCATGCTGAACTAGAAAGTGTGCAGAAAGTTGGACTCTTTTTTTTAATATATAATAGACACACGCTTGGCCACAATTTCAATGGGACGATGGGACGTGTTTGCCTAAAAAATGCCTATCCACTGTAGCCTTGAATACCTCCAAATTGTACGCTTCGGGAAACACATACAGAGAGCCGGTAGAGTATTCCATTCCCTTGCCGCACGCATCAGAAAGGAGGAAGCAAAGCGCTTAGTGCGAATAGGTGGAATATCAACGACATAAGAATGGAGTGCTCCGGACATTCTAGCCGATCGAAGGAGGAACGGTGAGGGTGGAACTAAATTGAAAAGTTCGTACGTACTCTCCCCGAAATGTATCCGATAGAAAGCGATGGTCGAGATTTTGTAGCTTCGACTCCACAAGAGAATTGTTGTTAATAAGTCTCTTTGCTTCTCGCATCACCGAGAGAGGCAGCTAACTGGTAATGGGCAGAGCCGTCCCAAAGGTGGCAGCAGTACTCCATACACGACCGAAGTTGTGCTTTATACAGATTTAGAAGCTGTTCAGGTGTGAAGTACCGCCTGACTTTGAAAAGTACGCCTAGTTTTTTGGCAGCAGTTTTTGCCAAGCACTCGATGTATCGCCCAAAGTTGGATGATAAGTCTAGACAAACCTAGACTCCTTTTTTATCTCAGATTAAAAATTCAAATTAATTTAGTAGAGCTACATGATAACAAGTGATGGAACCAACACATTCTGCCTGGTGCTGAGCGACTCGCCTGTCTATGACAGTTGGGGCACTGCCACTGTGCTCGTAACCCTGAGACATGAGTTGACAAATCCCATGTTCCCGTAATTTCACCAAGACCATTGTCTTTCAAACGAACGTCGCAATGTCAGCATTACTGCTTGGTGGCTGAAACGGGTAAGGTGGCAATACTTCCCTGGATGGTCTCTTCCACAAGGGTTGTATCTATTCTAAGAAGTTATTTGAATATAATTCCTCATATGAACTTGAGAAGTAGCCGCCCTCACGCTGGGTCTATACATAACACGGACTTCATTGCAAAAAACTTGTGATCCCAAACCATTCCTAACCGACTTCAAAAACGGAGGAAGTTCTCAATTCGACAGTATTTATATCTGCGGTCTGTGAACTGATTTTGATTTTTTTTTTTGTTGGAAAAGTGTGCCCCAATATTGGTCCCATTTAAACTTGAAGAAAATGCCACGAACTTTTGAGGTCGGTTTTAAAATAAAATATATACAAAAAACACAGACGAATTATGCAATCCTTTGAGAGATAAGTTTAAGGAAATTAACATTCTTACACTAGCCTCACAGTACATTTATGAAAATGTAATTTATGTTAAAAGGAATAGTAATTTCTTTATGAAAAATAGTGACAGACATAACATTAATACGAGGAATAGAAATAAACTAGCTTTTCTTGATAGTCGCCTTCACAAAGTCAAAAAATCATTTAAGGGGCAATGTATACGCTTATATAACAAGATTCCGGTTGATATACAAAATTTGCCTTTCACGAGGTTTAAAACTATAATGAAACAAAAACTTTATACTAAAGGTTATTATACAACTTCTGCGTACTTGGATGACAAAAATCCGTGGTATCTCGATCTCTGATGTTTCAAATAAAAAAAAAATATTGTAAATGTTATTTACAAAGAGCAACCCCTAGAGTTTCTTGCTCATTCTTCTTAGGGGAATCTGCCTTACGAATGAGCGGTAGAGTTTAACCATTGTGACGATTTCAAGTGTAATAATGCTTACCTATGAAATAAAGATTATTTTGAATTTGAATTTGAATTTAATAAACTTATCTTTCTCAAAGAAACACATCATTCCCTTGTACACGCAGAGACAGAACAGGGATGTTGCGAATATGCGCATCCGCAGTTATCGATGCTGATATTCAATGCGGACGTTCGAGTCGTGTCATGACCTAAAACGCACGCTGGTATAATTTACACGCTGTCCAGAAAAGTCTGGTAGCCGAGAAAGCAGCCACAGAAATCTTAGTGCCTATTTTATTTGGATTTCTGTAAACTCAGCTGTTGTTTTAGAACATAGCTTTGATAAAATTCGATTAAGCTAGGCAGATTGATTCTTTTGTTAATAAATGTCACAAAATCATTAAAATAATGTAATTATTTTATTTATTACAGTATCAAAAAAATACGAAGCTTTTTCACGTAGATAGATCGGTAGTGATGTATATTTTTCGCGTTTTTTTTAAATACATAAAATCCGTAAAAAAACCTGCATCAGCAATAACCCTGCGACAGAGTAGAGTCATCTAATGTATATTTTTTACATGTAGGTACGTATACGGTAAGGGACTCATAATACGTGAGGCGCATTATAAGTTTCCGGAATGAATAAGAAAAAAATACTATAAATAGTCACAATAGTTACTTTTGATACAAGTGCGGAAAGTTAGTCATTATTCACGAGTCTCGAGGCTTCTTGGTCCGAGCCAGAGGCGAGGTTAAGCTCGAGACAAGTGAAAATGACAAATCCGCACGTGTATCAAACGACTTTTTTTAATACATTTGCGAAAAAACTACATTGAAAGTAAAATAAAACAGTATTTAAAAAAAAACTCGTTTTATTTCTTTGTCTGATTCAGAGTACAATGGCAACTGTTTACACATTACACATTAAAATTATTACTTTAGTGGCGCGGCGCGCAGCGATCTCGTGTAATACTCACCTCCAGTCATTGTTAATAACTCAATCAGTACACAAATATATATAATATTTTGGTATTTTTAAATGTAACACGTAGTTTTATAAAACACCTATGCAACTTAAATAAATAAGATGTTTGTAAGTAAATATAAGTTTTAATGACGAATGACGACGAAAGCACATAAATATTAAATAAATACACAACCTCTTTAGTTCTATGTTTAAGACTTGAAACAACAGTAAATTAAAAAAAAAATGGAAAAGTGAGAAAAATCCAACTTTCGGCACGATTTGTATAGTACGAAAAATACCACGTTTTGAGAAACTGTATTAAAAATTAATTTATTGTTTCTCAAAATATTCTCCGTAAGCGTTAATGCACTTTTTCATACGAATGAACCAATTTTGAAAACATTTGTGCCACTCCTCCGTAACAATCTCTGAAACATATTTTTCATACTCTTCGACAGACGAAAATCGTTGATCACGTAACTGTTTCTTAATTGTCGAGACTGTACGCGGGATGGTTGATAAGGTCAACGTTGTTCACCTTCAAAAATTCATTTCTCGGTCTGGCCGTGTGAGAACTGGCATTATCGTGGTGCAAGATGTGTGTTTACGGTTGTTTTTACGGAGATTGTCAATAACTTCCGGCAAACAAATGGTCGTGTACCAATCACTATTCACGTTACAACGATTCTCCAAACAACAACAGTAGCCACGTGTCCAGTTTTATTAAAAAAAGAAGCAATCATCCAGTTAGAGGCACTTCGCACGCGCGCCACTTTGGTTGGTTTTAGCTCATCTCAAAAGACCCATACGCTCGATTGCTGCTTTGTTTTGGGATCGTAACTATAAATCCATGTTTCGTCACCTGTTACTATGTTCCACACCAAATTTGACGCTCCTTCGTTGCGCCTGGTAAGCATGGCATTGCACCAAGTGACGCGATCCGTTTTTTGAGCCTCAGTCAAATTGTGATCCACTGAAAGCACAGTTTTTTCACACCCAAATGTTTGTGTAGTATTGATTGTATTTGACTCATGCATATGCCCAATGATGCCCGAGTCTCATGGTATGTCACATGCTTGTCTGTTTTGATCATACAGCGCACAGCATCGATGTTTTTGTTGTTCACAGCAGTGGACCATCACGAAATTTGTCACTAAGATTTACACGACCCCGTTTGAATTCTGGAAACCAGCTATAAATAGTCGTTTTGCATGGTGCTTCATCGCCAAAATCAGTTTGAAGCCGTGCGAAGCTCCGCTGAGCTGATAAGTTACACTTAAAGTCGTAGAAAATCATACTACGAAAGTTTTCACGTGTTAAATCCATGGTGACGTAGACAACCAATTTCTAAAAATGACGCCACAATGTGAAAACAAGTGACAATCAGATGAAACAAACTGTATTCTATAGCCAAAGAGTTCCACTTACAAATGTTGTAATTACTTTTTAAATATTGTTTATGTAAGTGGCCAGTTCCGGAAACTTATAGTGCGCCCTATGTATTTTTAATTATTTTCAATTTATGTATTGTTCTGTGAATTATGACAAACGTATTCGGAAACTCGTGTTACGAAAACTGTAAACTTGAAAATTGTCGGCTTGTGGCAATAATAAAGATTTTAATTTTAGATTAGAATTTTATTAGAACAAGTTTTTGTACGTAATATTTCAATGTGAAAATGACTGGTAAATAATATTCAAGAAATTCTGATTGATATTTTATTGTTATTTTGGTTTATTCGTTGTTCAAGTGTTTTTCCTTGAATATTAACGTTGCTCTAAGAAATTTGTTGTTTTAATCACAATGTAATGTATCAAAAAAATACCGAAGTATTAGAAAATACTATTTTTTCCGAACCAAACTGCGTATATTTATTTTTTCAAACAAACCTCTCATTACGTTAGTAAGCCGTGACTACGGGACCTGCAAAGCATCCGAAACATTGTGTTTGCTTGAAAAAAGAAATACGTACGATTTTCATCCGGATTTTCCGAGGGCAGAGATTCAATCCTAATATGTAACTATTGCGTAAACCGTAGAATTCGATACCAAAGTTTGCTTCGTTTATATAAACAACTTGATAAAAATCAGCATTATTATGTAAATTTCGTATTGTTGAAACAATGTGTAACAAAATGTACGCTACAATACATTTCGCGATAACGGCACTGATGCTTTTTGGGGCGACGTTCTTGATCATGTACATAATGAATTTGAACTATGAGACGGTTTTGCATAGGCGGCGGCCTCGCGCCGCCGATCCCGCGCCGGTAGAGTTTATGGAAGACAATACACGCGGCTATGTGACCAGCTCCAACGACACAATTCAAAAAGCGCTTACTGTTAAACAGGTACTGAATTAAGCGTAATTAAATAAAAAGCGAACATCATAATGGCACACCTCATGGACGAATGACTTAAGTGGAGTCCATTAGATACAGAAAAATATAACCCACATCCTCTCCAATTCTTGTAATTCTGTCAACTAATATTGTAGACAGAGTTACAAGAATTGGAGAGGATGTGGATTGCATTTTTTTGTATCTAATGGAGCAATAAACATGTTTGACGTAACTCCACTTATGCCATTCTTCTCTTCTTCAGAAGTTGTTTTACTTTTAAAATATAAATTGTCGGAACGAACAAATTTTGCGCCTGGTGGTAAGCGACACGCCTATCCATAACAGTTGCAGTGTTATTTAGAGCTTTTAATCGCAAAGATCTTAGGGGCATTGCTACTGTGCCCGACACCCTGAGACTAAAGATGACAAGTCCCATGTGCCTGTAATTTCACCAGGTCCAGGCACCCTTCCAAACTGGAACGCAGTAATGCCCACACTACAACTTGGCGGAAGAAAAAGGTAAAGTGGCAGCACTTCCCTTCCCTGTGCGGGCTTCCTCTTACACAAGCAGCTCAATTATACTGCTAGTATAACATATCTTCTTTTACCATCCCTTATAATAACGGATGACGGAGCCTTCTGCGATCTCATTTCACTAAGGCTAGAGTACAGGGGCGTAAAGTTAATATAGCCCCAAGTAATTTGACTAAAAGACTTGTTTTTATCCCCAGATGATGACGCACGCATGGAACAGCTACAAAGTATACGCGTGGGGTAAGAACGAACTGAAGCCAATGTCCAAACGGGCTCATTTGTCAAGCGTCTTCGGGCCGCACGACCTGGGAGCCACGATCGTCGACGGCTTGGACACGCTGTACCTGATGGGCATGATGGACGAGTTCAGAGAAGGCCGAGATTGGGTTGCGGAGCATTTGAATTTTAAAGAAGTTGTAAGTCGTATGCTTAATGTAATAAGACCACATTTGCAAAATTAAAACTTTCGAGGAGAGACGTTTAAAGATTCTACGAACGAAATTTAGTCGGTAACTTTTCTAGGCTTAAGAGATATACAGGTAGTATCTCTATAGATAGGCTATAGAGATACTGCCTGAGATCGAATTAATATTTTTCCCGTACTGAATCGGTTTATTGCGCGGGTTGAGCGGTAGTGACGTTGGTTTTAATTTAAAATATATTTTTTTTTACAAACGACATTAAAACCATTCGAAAACGTATATCGTATACTATACGTTTCTATAATTCAGTTAATATAAAAAAAAATCATTGTTATTTGTAAAGTCCAGAGTGCAGCGGTTTTCTTGTAAAATTTCGAGGTAAGTTTGTGTTTATTTCTATCGTGAAAATTTTAGGAAGCGGAATAGGTGTTTTCACACCGTATACCTACTAATCAGTGTATATTCTCAATTTTACAACATATTATTTCCTAAGCGATTAATTCAACACTTTCACTATAATGCGGAACCAACCAAATCTATTCGTCAGAACCGCTGCAGCCAAAACGAGTTATTAAATTTGAAACACTATGAAATCTATGATAATGATTGGTCTTAGTTTTAAATGAAAAAGAATAGAACTTCAATATAGAACCACATGAAACAAATTATGTAGCTATAATGTGAAATGTTATAGCTTTCCCCTTTAAGCATAAAAAAAATGTCGGGTAGTTTCATTTCTAGAACCTTTACACCTCTCTTATGAAAAGTTGTTATTTTGCAGATGTGTTCTTATTGCACCAGAAGCAAATTTTATTCATTTATTGCAAATTGCAGAAGGCAGATGTTATTAGGGCATGAACGTTGAAAAGCAGGAAGGCGGTAGCTCTTGAAACTTGCATTCATCTTGTTTACACGACAGTCATCGAGTATATAACCAGAAATAGACGAAATGTCATTTAATTTGTTTGAAAATTACTCTGCCAAATCATTACTGCGCTCCGCTTAGACAGCCCGAATTCGAAACAATTGACGGGTGTTGTCAATTGTTTCACTTCAAATCTACCAGTTAAACTTGAGCTTTGCTATAATGGACGAAAATTGCAAAATTACATATTTAATATTTAATTACCGATGAAATATGATTCCGTTTGTTTTGTAATTAGATGTTTAGCTGTTTTTTCCCACCACCGAATGTAACAGTGGGGACTGTTCCATTGCTACAGATATTAGGTATCTTTATTACAACAAATACAGAATATTTTTGGAATATACGTTGACATACACACAGGTCAGATGTTGGCGCTGTACTATTTCAATATTCTAATTTGTGATTTCAGCGCAAACGAGAGTTGATATTTAAAAGTGATAGAAGGCCCATTTTCCTGATGAGTTGCCAGAGACGGATGGCCCTTATTTCGTCTCTATTTCTGGTTATATATTCGATGACGACAGTAGACCTGTTGTAGGACAAGAATCGCAAATGATTAAGGCAGTTCTTTCGGTGATCAGAAAAGATATAACATAAATAAGATTAGAAACTTAGAATAATAACGCATAGAATGATAGTTTCATATCAAACGAACTGTCACAAGTGAGGCAAAAATCAAATTCATGTAGACTAGTTTTAGTGTAGGTTAATTTTCGGTTTTATTGAATATTTATACAAAAATACAAGTTGAAACGCGTTACTTCCTTGTGGAATGTGATGTTGGTATCTATTTTATGTTTGTCTGACGTATTTTTACACTCATTTACCGCACATTTCGTCATTTTTAGCTAAAATTCTTGATCTGTTCGTGGTGCAAGTTGACCTTCAGCACTGACGGCCCGCCCGCTCGTGTAGGCCCATTGGGAGCGCTTCAATTTGCCTCACTTAGCGTGTGCGGACTAGGTTTCTATGCGTTATTATTCTAAGATGAAACAATAAAGCACTCCTTATTATGTGTGCTTTATGTCTCTAACTCAAGTAATATCATGCAACAGTGTTGTTTTTTAAATAGAAACTGTGATACTTTCAGTGTTTTTCTTGAGAAGTGTTTTTTTATTTTATTTTTTTTATGATATCTAACAAGTCGTGCGCCTGATGGTAAGCTACACGCCTGTCACCCTGCGACATAAGTTGACAAGTCCCATGTTCCTGTAATTTCACCAGTACCCTTCAAAACCAGAACACAGTAATGCCGACATTACTGCTTGGCGGTAGAAATAGGTAAGGTGGCAGTACTTCCCTGGACGAATTCTTTCACAAGGACCTCTACTGCTACTAACTTCTGTGGAACAAAGACTGACTAAGTTAAAAATATTCCAGGACTATGAGCTGTCCGTGTTCGAGACGACGATCCGCTTCATGGGCGGGCTTCTGGCGTGCTATTCTCTCACGGGCGACTCCATGTTCAAAGACAAGGCTGCGGAGGTAGCTGACGCCTTGCTGCCGGCCTTTGAAACTCCCACTGGACTGCCGTATGGACACATCCAACCTTATACTAAGGTATAGACATGGTATAGACCCTGGTGTTAGCTGTATTAATTCTACGCGCTTTGTTGAGCTGGTGTTTTGTTAAGTCAAATAGTAGGTATATTTTTTATCGAGGCATCAAAACGAGCGGGTATACCCAAGGTGGTAGCCATTCGAGCTTTAGCGAAGGTGTCTCTTACTCCGAGGCTTTTGATTGGCTTTTAATTTTTTTTATTAAGAGTTTTGGCTTGGATACAAGTCCTTTGAGCCATGTCTTCGTTTAATTATTGAGATCAGAAATATTAAATATTTTCCATTGTGGTATTTCACATTATGTTTTCACATTCTCTTAAATAATTTAGTTCTCTTGTTTGGGCTTTCTAAATAGTCTTTTAGGCGGCGGGAGTCAATATTTATGTTTTCAGTTTCACTAAAAAACTTTGAATTCGTAATTTCAAATTTTCAGGATAAATTCTTTTATAATTTTGCTTACAATAAGGATTATAGTTCTAACGTTCTTCGTCACTATTTCTTTCTTCGAATTTTCATAATATTCATAAAATAAAATTAAAACAGAATTGTAAAAGCTGTACTTGTAACTTCAAAAGCCCGCCATTTTTTTTCTTGGCTTTTGTCTCGAGGTGACAAGTTTAATTTTCACTTCGATTGCGAGAAAACAATTAAATATCTCAATCGTTTTTGCTCTACAACAAAATTACGAACCAAAATTCTGAAGTTTTCGCGGTATTTTTTTCCGACCAGACCTTAGAGGATGGGTAGTCTAAGGACCAGATACAGATACAACAAACGCAGTAACGCGGGAAAATAATATGGCACCACCGTCTATGCGGAAAAGACACGGAACTAAAAGCGAGCGCACTACTGACTGTTTGAGTTTGTTCATTCGAAGTAAATTAAAAAATTTGGTACTTTTTATTCCTTACGGATTAAAGGATGCACTTTGCTCCCATTTATACTTACTTTTAGAGCATGAGAAGTGAAAAAAGATATGTTAAGGAGGGTTTGATAAGTACGTGAATTTGAGAAGAATGAAGGTTTTTTAAATTATGATTTATTTTTCTACGTAATCTCCTTTTAACTCTATACACCTCGACCAAGCGATATTCCAACTTTTTCAACCATAGGCACATCGCGCGAACGTGCTATGAATGAATCAATTAATTCCTCTCTAGATCTTCTTTTAAATCCTATTTCGATAAGTTTCGTAGACAAGTATTCTGCCCTGCTAAGCCAAAACGCGCTATCTCAATCGGAGTAAGATTTGAGAAAATAGATATTTTGTAAATTCTATTTTCGCACTTTCAAAAATAAATCTTTTTGAAGATGTTGAAACTTATTTATACGAATTTTTGACTAATAAATTTATTGACATACCTAAATTATCCATAAATTGTACCATTACACCTATTTTGTGAGATACCGCTATTTTGATTATAAAGAAAGCCGCCAAATCTATTAGAAATTTAAAGAAAAATTGAGAAATAAAAATACTTCTTAATGGTTTTTAATTATGTTTTAAGTTTGATAGCGCTATTTCTATTATACCATTAGATGCAAAATTATTATAGCTATTGAATGGTATAAAAAAAGCTAAAAGGGATTATCTCAGAGAAAGCGCGTTTCGGCTTAGCAGGGCAGTACTCCTTCTTGACCAATTTCAGGCGAGTTACCCTTCCGGCTGGGCTGCTCCAAACAGCATTCTCTCAGAAATCGGCACATTGCATTTGGAATTCTCTTATTTGTCTGACGTTACTGGAATCGAGGGTAAGTATTCGCGCCATTTCACACGTTTCACAGGAACATAATTTAAAATCCACATAAGATATATGTACACACATCAAAAAAAGTTTGCGATCACTTCGAAAAACTGAAATCTTTTTTGTTACTTTAGATTATATTATGATTTTTTCTTCTTTTTAGATTCTTTATTTAAAAATAAATTAGAACATAAAACAATGACCCCGTTCAATTGTTTTTTCATATAAAAAGGCTTTCAGTCCTAGCTTACGCTCATTCAGAAATCTGATTTAGTCAATTATAAGCGATTCAAGATATTTTTCGCGGAAAGTTGTGATTGAAAAAATGCCAAGAGGATTATCAGAGGTTTTACGAGCTAGAATAGTAACTTTGAGGGAAGAAGGATACACCACGAGAGTAATAGCACGCAGACTTGCTATATCCCAATCCTGTGTCGTGGCTACGTTGCAGAGGTATCACGGAATGGGCAATTTAGCTGACCGACCCCGCAGCGGTCGCCCAACTGTTTTGACAGCTGCCCAAAAGCGCTATATTAGATTGCTGGCAGCCCGTGATCCAACAATCAACGCCACTAAAATAAAAGCAGAAGTCAGGGCCGCCTCTGGGCTTGAAGTTAGCACGCAGACCGTTCGCAATTGCTTGCACCAGCCTGGATTACGAGCACGGAGGTCTTGGCGAGCTCCGCTCAATTCCCGGCAACGTCAACAACGAAGATTGCAGTGGGCTAGACTTCGGCAAAATGAAGAAGGTGAGGACGAAAACATTTGGCAAAACTGTCTCTTCGTTGACGAATCCCGAATCAGCACTCATCCAGATAACCGACGTGTCCCTGTCTGGAGAAGACCAGGCGACCGTGAAAGACAAAGAACTGCCACTGGAACAGTTCAGCAAGGCGGAAAATCGGTGTCCTTTTGAGGTGGCATTATGATTGGAGCTAGAACGCCTTTGATCCCGTATCGGGGCTTCATGACAGCAGACATGTACAAAGCAGTTGCTATTGATGATATCGTCAGACCATTCCGAGTAAACCATGGGCACCAATTTGTACTGGTCGATGATAATGCGCCCGCACATCGAGCTCAACGAGTCAATGCTGCTCTTCAAGAATACGATATCACACGATTAGACTGGCCTGCCGGCTCGCCCGACTTAAACCCAATAGAGCACGCGTGGGATGCTCTTAAACGAGCAGTATGGAACCGTGAGCCACGTCCCCAGACAGTTCCAGAGCTCAGGGAAGCCGCTATTGAAGAATGGGATAGGTTACCCCAGGAAATGCTGGATAACTTGATCCTCAGCATGCCCAGGAGGATCTTCGCATGTATTCGAGCCAGGGGAGGAGTTATTTTATATTGAATTCACACCTTTTAATAATAAATTGTTGTTTAAGTTTAATTAAACAGTCTTTTTCTTTCTATGAAATTTCTATCACTATTACATTGTGATTAATGGCTCAATTTTTTAAAATAAATAATAAAAAATAGTTTTATATTTTAATTTCAAACAGGGTATTCCTATTTAAAGAAAGCATACAACATAGATTTTTTCTTGATAAAGTTAAATTTAAAGAATTATAGGAGCTTATGCTATTGATCGCAAACTTTTTTTGATGTGTGTATGTCTAATAAAACTATAGGCAAAAATAAACTGGAAATAAATAACAAAGAAGAATGGCAAAAGCTGCCCCAATAACGACGAAGAGCCGTTCATGGATTTTGCTAGTATAATTTTGCGTTTTAGTTTATGCCTAGTCATCAATGTATTTTTGTATATTTTTAGAAGTCGGGAATAAAAAAATTGTAAAATATTGTATTTTAGAATTAGATGCAATAATACAACGCAATTGATTCTGCTCGACCCTTAGAGGATGGAAAAAAAATTGGACCATAGATTTTTTTCTTATTTTCTGGCACTATGGCGTCCAGCCGTTGGCCATATGCAATTTCGATTGAGTTGCCATTTTTCGATAATTCTTCCAATATTTTCTTCCTCCTTGCGACTTCAGGATATCGTTGTCGTCGCAGTTGTTGTTGTGGAACTTTGATGTGGGTTTTTGGATACTAATAGGAATTTAAAAACGGGGAAAGGAAATGGCAAAGCAAACGGAATTTTGGCACAGTGATTTACAGGATAGTATATGGTAGGTAGTATATGTAAGTAAATCTAAACAATGAAGGATGGAAATTATGAAAGGAAATGGAAATGAGATGGTAATAGCTGAAAATAAGTGGATAAATAATAATCTAAATTTTAATATCATTTTTCCTTACGAACTGAGCATTATAAACGGAATGATTATTATACGATAGTAAAAAAGGAATAGATGTTGGTAAAGAAATTATAGATTGAAAAACGAAGCACGGTCATATCTTGGACTGGAAAAGAAAAGATGGTTCAGACTGGGTGACGTTCTTATACGTACGTTGCATTTTAAGCATGATGGAATGTTTACCTACCTGAAGTATTGGTTATTTTATAGTACACACGTAAAACATTAAAGCTATGAAACACTTGAAATAATCAATTAAACATTAATGACATAAAGTAAAAAGTAAAACACGAACCTTTTAACAAGAGACCTCTTGCCATTGTCAATGTCACATTGATATTGAGAACAGTGTGACCATTTGTGGCAGATTTCTGTCATTTGGACAGATTTAATTTTTATTCATTTTCATTGTGGTAGAACAAAGTAGTTTGGCAGATTTCGGAATATTCGGGAAGTTCTTTATTATTTTAGGGAACAAACTGAAAACTTGTTGTTTTCTGCTACCATGAACATACATCTCAAGCGAAATACAGGACAATGGTATAAATATAACCTATATCAACTTTATAACCCCAACTTCTACAGGCTGTGTACTCAATAACTTTATTGAAGCTTTGTTAATGAAATGTCTCCTTAATGCACGACGCCAAAAACACTGGGTTACAAAATACACGGGATGTCGCCATCCCTCTGGAACAAAAATATTTTTTTATTTTATTAAAAATAATTTTTTAACGTTATCCTTTTGCTTATACGTTTTTTATTATAATAATAAGATCATTTATACTATAGTACGGTTGTGCTCGAAAGAATATAGTTCTTAATACAGAATAAAAGTTAAAAAGCCCCGATTCAAAACATCGTACTCAAGAACGTTTACTTTAGTAGCAGTAGAGAGAGAGTACAGTGTGAAAGAGTTCGTCCAGGGAAGTACTGCCACCTTTCCTATTTCTGCCCGCCTAGTACTAATGTGAGCATTACTGCGTTTCAGTTTTGAAGGGTAAGGGTGCTGGTGAAATACAGGCACATGGGACCTTTCAACTTACGTCTCAGGGTGACGGGCACAGTGGCAGTACCCCTCAAACTACAGACCATGTCACGGCATCCTATGTAGAAAACGAACTATTTGTACAAGGACCTAGGGTTTGTCAAACTTAATTGAATGTATAGGTTTATCCATGACATGTTTGCCGATTGCAGACTTTACGTGACAGTCCTTGACATAATATGTTATGTTCTTCGTCTGTCTATGTAAGAGACTTAGGTATTTTAACTTATGTAGTATCGGTAGGTTGATTGACTAATTGTTATTGTATTCCAGTCTACAAAGATAAGGTGGACCGCATCCGGCAGGTGCTGAATGACAAGCCGGGGAATCTGTACTACACCTCCATCAATTCGCACAACGGACAGTGGGCACTGCGTAAGTACTATCGAATGTAATACAATCGTTTATCTCGTATTATTAATTTAACAATATTACAATTTAAAATACGATGCCTTGACATTGAAAAGTGTGATTGTTACTAATATAAACAGTGCTCATTAAATAAAAATGTAATGTAAAAAACTATTTATTAAATTAATATTTTCAATACATACACACCTACTATTCCTAAAACTCTATAATTTGGGCCATTTCAAATCGAGAGTGAATAGGCGTTATTTAGGTGTGCATGCTTCATCGGCGACCTCATCGTCACTTTCCAACAGGTGAGTTGGATTATCTATTGGATAATCCTCAAAAAATAAAAATATATATATTGTAGAAAGGTAACGTGCTGATCTCAGGAGTTTTAAGCCAGAACCGATGGAATCGAAAACGGGACGACCTAAATATCTGGGTATGGGTACTGAGAAAGTGGTTGAGTTGCACGAATGGAGCCTCCCTAAACTACGTATACCATTCCTTTCCAGTATTCTTTTTACTTTAGTAGCAGTAGAGCTTATTGTGAAAAAACTCGTCCAGGGAAGTACTGCCACCTTACCTATTTCTGCCGGCAAGCAGTTAGCATTACTGCGGTCCGGTTTTGAAGGGTTTACGGAAGGAATTACAGAATTTCACAAGCACCCTTACCCTTCAGAACCGGAACTCAGTGAGCCTGTGCACATGGGACGTGTCAACTTATGTCTCAGGGTGAAAGGGCGCAATGGCAGTGTTCCTCAGATCTTTGCGATTTATAGCTCTGAGTGGCAATGCAACTGTTAGGGACAGGCACACGCCTGATGTCGTGTCGTTCGTCCCGTCACTTGATACTATAAAAAAAACACAAAATCAAATCACCTCATAAAGCATTCGCGCTATTTTACATTCTGTATAACTTTCCAGCTCACATGTCCCTTGGCGCTTTCGGCGACTCTTTCTACGAATACCTGCTGAAAGCATGGCTGATGTCTGGAAGGACCGACAAGCAAGCACGCATCATGTTTGACAATGCGATGGAAGTCGTGCTAAATAAGATGCTGCGCGTATCTAACTCAGGACTGTCCTACTTGGTTGATTTGCAATTCGGCATTGTGGTCGAGGAGAAAATGGACCACTTGTCTTGTTTTGCCGGTAAGTCATCTTAAGACCCATTTACACGGAGATAATTTCTCATCTCGAAGACACGACTATCGAAAGAATATAAAACAGTTTCTTCATGTTAACGTACGCGTGGGCACCAACCGCCTAGCATTGAATATCTCCATGTAAACAGAATAAGCAATTCTTGTCTGTTTATAAACTTATTTTATGATAATTTTGTAGTGATTATTAAAAGTGGTAATAACGTACGATTAACTCTCTCCATCTAAGTGGCCCTTTAATAATAAACTAGCTACCGCTACTTATTGCTTCTTGATTGTAATTTCTTGGATCCAGAGGATGTCTTCAAGAAATTGCTGTTTGAAAGCTGCCTGATCCACATTTCTTTTTGTTTTCTTTTGTCCCGTTATTGTTCTGTGGTAACACTTGAACACTATCTTTTCAGCACTAAGATTCGTCAATAATGACAGGGTCTAAAATCAACTTGAGTACATCATCTGGCACACCAAATAGCTGCTGTAATTTCGAATTCCAGGTGGCATGTTCGCACTAGCCTCTACGACATTGAATAACTCGTTGTCTGAACGCTACATGGACGTGGCGAGCAAATTGACGCACACCTGTCACGAGGCTTATTCCAGATCTGTGACGAAACTTGGACCTGAGGCCTTCAGGTGATTATTCTTTGAATGTCTGATCTCATAGTACTCAACAGCAAAATTTGCTAATGAGGGTATTCTACAGTTACCCAGGAAGGTGTCCTCCTGTCATTTTTTAAGGAAAACTAAGACACAGTTCGTGCTTAGCACAATGAAACGGGATCAAAAATGAAATCTTACAAGAAACTTAGTACTTTTTGGTAGTGTACAGTACTTATATGGTTATTTGTTTTGGTAATATTGTACAAGTAAATATAGGGACAGAAAAATAAGTTATGGTTTCAAGCTCTACATTCATCACTTTTTTGGAAATCAAATAATATCGTTTCAGATTCAATGGTGCAGTGGAAGCGCGAGCGTTAAGGAAAAAAGAGAAGAAGTACCTGTTGAGACCAGAAACCTTCGAGAGCTACTTCATCATGTGGAGACTCACCAAAGACCAGAAGTATCGAGATTGGGGATGGGAGGGTGTGCAGGTAGGCATCTATATCTCGTGGGTTATTTTATGCAGGACTGACGGTGCCGTCCAGTGCCTCAGTGAATGGTACAGGTTCAAGCTAAGTATAATTCGTATGGCAGGACAAAATTCAAAATGGGCGGCCGTGTGCAAGAATTCATTGAATAGTTTTTTTTATGTGTAAAGAAGGAGGCAAACGACCAGACGAGCCACTTGATGAAAGGTGGGGAATCGTCGCCCATGGACATTTGCAACATCAGATGAGCTGCCTATGCGTTACCAGCCTTTGAGAGACCTTGTAAACACTCTTTCTGAAGAACCCCATGTTATAGCACAAAGGAAATACCTCAGAAGGAAGATCATTCCACATCTTGCAGGTTCGAGGAAGGAACGAACGAGATGCCCGCGTGGTCTTATAATGCCAGGCATCTCATTGTGGGGATGGACTCTACTCCTTTGGCGGGAGGTGCGATCACTCCCCATTATAAAGACGGTAGAACACACACAGAGAGTCAACGTCTCTCCGTAGGCTAAGGGGCTCTATACCGTCTGTGAGTTGGGGATCATTGAAAAATACGAACCGCCCTACGTTAGATGGAGTCAAGTAGGTCAAGTCATTTTGGAGCTCCTGCCCAGAGATGCGAGCAATACTCCCTAAGGGGCCGTTCATGTATTTTATACAACAAGTTAAGTTTCAGTTTATTTAAAACAATGCTTGTTTTGATAAGGCGTTGGAAAAGCACTGCCGCGTGGACGGCGGGTACACGGGTCTCCTTGATGTATACCATCTACGTCCGAAAAAAGACGACGTACAACAGAGTTATTTCCTCGCAGAGACGCTCAAGGTCAGTTATTTGGCTTTTGTGACGAAATTTCGCTTTGAAGGTCACCACTATTATTACCATCGGCTTGACGCGGTCACAAAAACCTTTAAGCCATGCAACAAGGGCGAGTAAGACTTAACGCGTTTCGCGTTTACTCAGGACAGTCAACGCGAAGTGCATAACGCTTTTTCGCTTTTATTCCATGGACAGGCTTAATCTGTTCCAATGTTGATAAGTGGTGTTGGTAGCATCTGAATCTGGGGTCAGTTTAAAGTTGCAACGGAACCCAAAGGAACCCAAATCCGAGTATCATTGTGTGATGTCGGGGCTGGTTGCTTGTCAAAAATATTATACCAAGACTAACGAAGCTTGAATGTTCAGGGGGTGTTCCAATGTTTCTACTGACTGAATCGATGTATCGTTCGCAGTACCTGTACCTGCTGTTTTCCGATGACTCGTTGGTGCCGCTTGATGAGTGGGTGTTCAACACCGAAGCGCACCCGCTGCCCATCAAAGGCAAGAACCAGCTGTACCACCAGGACAACTAAGTGCTGAGGAAATATAGCGCAACCTCTTAAATTAAAACCACAGAGGAATTGTTTTTTAATACACTACCGGACACAATTCGAGATGTCTTGAATTTTTAGTATGTTTGATTGATCGAAGAATATAAATGTAATTTTGAAACTGGTTTACCTACGAAATGTCATTTCCATAAGCCTTCGTTAAAAATTTGAATTTCTAAAACTGGGGAAAACTTTTTCTTCGAATCGTCGAAGAAACTCTGGTTCGTTCCGTGGCTTAATTGGGATAGCGTCTGGCACGGTTTGCTAGAAGATGTCGTAACGCCGACGCAACGAATCGTGTGGCATCGAACTTATGTGTGTAAGGAGTGTATTTAAATTAATTTTAACAATACGCTCTGTAGTGTTTTGTACAGTTATCGTCGAAAATGCTTTGTCTGCCAAGTCCTTATTTCTTTGGCTAATTTTCTCACTTACAATTTATTCATACAGACAAATGATTATTGAATTAATGCGTATATTTGTTTTTAAAACACACAAACTTTCGAGCACTTTACGGATCCCATGATCACGGACTTACGGCTGAATATAGGGCTTATTTGAAATAATAATAATAATAATAATAACGCACACACTCAACATAGCCCCGCACTAGGGAAACCCTGTGTCGCGGGTGCCATGGACACACACATAGACAACCACAAATTACACCCAAACTCACGAGAGAAATAAATGTAGGCCATACAAATATTTCTCCCGGCCCGGGAATCGAACCCGGGGACCTCTGCGTGGCAGTCCGGTATGGTAACCGTTCGGCTACGGAGGCAGTTGAAAAAAACAAATATACGCGATATAGATCCGAAAAAAATATTTCATTCTCAATGTGTGTAATTCGCGAAAACCTAGGAACTCGATATATACAAAAAGATGAAGAGACAGACAAAGAGACCCGTGCCCAGCAGTGGGGGACGTGTAATTGGGTTGATGATGATTGAATACCCAGAAAAACATCTTTTGACCTTTGGACTGAAACAAAATAACGGATTTTGCACGAGTTTATACTCAATAAAGCAGTGTTTGCAGGTTGACGACAAAATGGCAACTTTAGAAAATGTAAAACTAAGAAAGATAGCGACTTTTGCAAAAGTGGTCAACAACGCTCACTGATTTGCTCAGAATACACCTTGGCACTGTATTGTTGAAGTATTTGAAATTATTTAAAATACTGATCCATTTCACGCCACTAAAATTATTAAAAATGTCACACAGCGCTGTTTGCTAGTGGACTACTCAAATATTAGTGTGAATGACTGTGATAAGGTAATTTCTACTATTGACGTGCTAAATGTTACGAGCCTGTGACGTGGCAAATAAAGAATTTGAATTTGAATACAAATTAAGAGCGTTTATTTTTATGTGATTGGTTTTTTACAGAAGTTTCTGTAGCGGACTGTATCAATGGGTTAAAGGGTGGGTGCTAACAACCAGAGCAAGGCCAAGCAAGTCTTCGTGTACTTACAGCTTTTAATAATATACTAGAAAACATGTTGTCGCTAAACAAAACAGCAAACACAAGCTTAAGTTAAGAAAAAAGCGCCATAAACAATCGCGTTTAA